CTCTCTCTCTCTCTCTCTCTCTCTCTCTCTCTCTCTCTCTCTCTCTCTCTCTCTCTCTCTCTCTCTCTCTCTCTCTTAACGGGCCTCTGTACTTTTCCATACTTGCCCTAATAGCTCAAAGGGTTCTCCTCCATAGACTTTAGAGAAATTCTTCATAGAAATGGCGGCTCCACAGCGGTTGCTGAATTTTGGACTTGCACAGTGCAATGGTCGCCTGCTCAATAGTGGCTGAGTGTGCCCCGGACGCGAACCGGTGTTCCTTACCTTGAGAAGGAAAATGGATCTCTCTTTGGTCAAGTTTTCCTGAAAGACTGTGCAATGCATTGGGCCGTGATTGTGGTCCAGTTGAAAAACATGTGTATGTTGGGTCAGTTGTCACTGGGCGCCATGTTCGTAGCAGCCCTGCTCATTGCCCGTAGTGGAGCCCCACTTTTCATGATGGGAAATCTCAGATCTGCCATACTTACTTTACATTGGGGAAAATCCCCGAAGTAAGCCCACAGGCACAAATGCCTCTGTATGCCGAAGCGCTTTTCCCAGAAAAAAAGCAGGGTAGCAATTCACAAAAACGTCTGTGCATGATGGTGCCACCAGGAATTCTTCTCTACTGGGGCAAAATTCTCGAGGGGTTTCAGGAAGATTACGACTGCAGACTTCTAGCATGCTTCTCTGGGAGGCGTTTTAGGCTTTTAGCAAATGGAAGCATTCATCGTGCAAACAAGATCAGGTGGAATTGGGTGGAGGTATTGGATTAAAGATCCTTTTTTCCTCCCCTCATTTTGTTGTTCGGCTGCAACGGTCCCCTTTTGGTAGGCCTCTCCTATTCTGGCATAGCAGTGAAGTTCCTTTTCCACGAGGAAATAAAAGACCAGTACCTCCGAAAGGCACAGCCGTGAAAGAGCCGCGACTTTCGGGTTGAATGGGCCTGGGGGGTGCTAGTATAAATTCAGTCAAGTGGAAACGTCGTGTTTTTTTTTTTTCATTTGGCTCAAATTGGCTGGCCATTAACGAGGCGCGACGTGCGGAGGTACTGGTAGTTTAAACCACCAGGTCACACGAGCCTAAGGTGACAAAGCTGCCTTCCAAGGCTTGCGAGCCTGCAACTGCCTGCCGCTTTCGCTACCAGGCCAGGCCCGAATCGAAAATGCTCTTACCTCGTATTACCGGTGAGAGCGCACTACTTAGGAGGTTCATGTGAACTGGTAGTTCAAAGGATAAAAGGCTGTGGTACACATACCCATTCGTCCATGGGACAGGCCATTCCGCGCTGCACTCCAACTCCGTAGCGATTCATTGCCTTTCCAGCTCATTACTGCCTGAATGAGGACCTCTCCTCCTCGTCATTGATCCTTCTTGTCTCCCCCCCCCCCAACGCAACACACCCTCATTGTGGCCGTACCAGACTAGAAAGATAGCTTGTATGCATTCATTATCAGGGTGCGTTATGTTCGGGAAAAGACAGTAACTCATCTAACCACTGACGTACCTTAGTGTCATGTGACATCGTCTGTCCATAGCCATTACACCGCAGTTGATCGGTGAGGCCCACCCATGTCTTCTCCAAATTGTCCTCCCAGTTCATGCGCTTTGGCTGCAAGGCAAGAGAATCAGCAAATTGGGGGAAGGAGAGTTTGGGGGGAGGGGGGGGAAAGGGGGGGGAGGAGGGGGTTCACACACCATCCAAGCAGAAGAGATGTAGGAACTGAGACTGTGTCATCACCAGGCGTTAAGACCTTCAGTCCCATTTCCCGAAAATGTTTCCGGCAGAGAAAGACGTTTATTTTTTGGTAGGTAGACGACAAACAGGACTGTAGCGTCCTCCAAAGTTCTCTTATTTTACAAGTTATCCAAAGTCAGTTTTTTTTTTTTTCCTAATAATGTTCCGGGCTATTGGTGCCGAGCGACACATGCTGGGAACTGGGCCCAGCATCCCATATAAGATGACAATAGACATTTGAGGATACCGGGGCCATTACCCTGCTTCGGCTGAGAAACATTTCAGAATAAGCCATGAAATTCATGAACAACTTCGGACCTCACTTCTACCAGACCCCACATTCCAAGTGACAGTACAGACCTAACCGAAACCAACCTTAGGTGTCCTGTTCTCAATACCAGGCCTATACCGAGCCTCACGCCCCCAACATGCTACAGGGCAGCGCAACCCACCCCAGCTCCTACCATCGTTGTCCTGGCAGCAGCCCCCAGTTACCCACTGGATTGCCTTCCATCCTCGACGAATCCCCAGATCTCTCTACCAGGCCTCACGCTCCTGCCTAAACAGGTTATAGGGCAAACGCCCCAGCACCAGCCAGCATCGTTCTGGCATCGGCTCACCTAGACCACTAAACATTGCAGCTTCGTCTGGCGTCGGATGAGCCTCTACTGCCACTGAAATCCTGGATCCGGTTTCTGTAGAAACCCAAAGTAATCCATGATTGCTGATGATTTAATACTGGAGAGTGCTAAAAGTCAGACTAATGACGTTGACGATACCAATGATGTTGATGAACAAAAGGACGCTGATCGCAGAATCTCGCCCCTCCTCTCCCTCTCACCCTCTCCCTCCGCTGCCCCTGCCGAAAAGGGCCACCCTAATTACAGCAACTCCTCCACGGCTCCAGCATGGGACAGACCCCCTCCCTGCCCCCTGATCCCTCCAGGGCATCCAGTTCCCGCCTAAAGTATGCCCCTGCCAACCCACTGCCCCTGTCTGCCTCCGCTGGGATATGATACCAACCCTCGTATCAACCCCAGCACCAGAATCAAGCAAACCCCAAGATCTGCTCCTACCTCCCGCCTTGTGAAGCCCCTGCAGGATAGTGCTCCCCTTCCTCAAACCATCCCACCAAAATGCCGGAAATAAGTAGAAAAAATAATCGGATCCACCCCTGATCTGCCCCTACCTCCCGCCTCGTGAAGCCCCTGCAGGATAGTGCTCCCCTTCCTCAAACCATCCCACCAAAATGCCGGAAATAAGTAGAATGAATTACCGGTGGAAAAAATAATCGGATCCGCCACTGCCCATCGTAAACAGCATAACGCTCAAAGAGGAGAATATAGAAATTAGGAAGTGGCTAGGAATTAAAGATTGTTGGGTAGGATGTTGTATTAGGAAGCCGGAATTTAGAAATTATAAGGTTTTTAAGTCTTTAAGAAGAATATAAGAGTTCAAGATTGGGAATGCACGAGGAAGTAACGAGGAACTAATGAGGAATTTAATTAGGAATTAAATAGGAATTAAATAGGAATTAAATAGGAATTTAAACCCGAATTTTGGGATTGTAGATTAGCATAAAGGCTTTGAGAAAGTTGAGGAACGTGAAACTTCTGGAAATTAATCGCATTGAAAGTTCAGGGATTAAAATTTAAAAGAGAGAACCAAGAATCACGGGAAATGAAATTTAGAGAAATGTAGAGAAATTTGAAACGGTTTCACCTATAACGGTAGCAGATGCAGTTACCAGGGCTCGATCCTTAGACCTCCCCTTCAACCATGTACAGTACCAGTTGACCCGCGTGTGTTTGAACCCACGGCCTGTCTCTGAAAGTTGTATCTTCAGTTGTTGTATATAGTGCGATCGCCAGGTCTTGAACCGTAGATCTAAGTTTTAGAGGTCGTAGTAGTAGTATAGGTCATATCTGCCACAGTCCCGAAAGGTCAAGCCTACGACCTTCCGGAATTTCTGGAAGTGGTCTTTAGCGAGTCCTAGAGTCAGTCTGCGTCTGAGTCAGCAGAGGGCAGTCCTAGCACAGTCAGCAAAGGGAGTCCTAGTCCTACCTATCTCAGTCAGCGGTACCCAGTCCCAAGGTGCACTTTGTCAAGTCAGCAAGTACCAGGTGGGACTGTGCATACCCCGGGCCCAGGGTCAAAGGGCAGACCTACGACGATCCAAAGTATAAATAAAGAGGCAGCATCAAGTCATTCATTCATTCTGCCTGTGAGCCATGCGGAAGCGCTGTCTGTGTGTCTTGTGTACGAAGGTCTGCAGGTGTCCGAAAAGGAAGAGGGCTAAGAGGAGGAAGACGCTGCCATAGCCGCCAGGCAGTAGTAGGAGGAAGAAGGTGGCAGCCATAGCTGCCCGTAGGTTAGAGGTAGAGAGTGTGTCAGTGTGAGTGTGTGTGCGCGGGACATCCAGGGAGATCCAGAGTGAGTGCGGAATGCGTGTGTGTAAATAAGTTGCCGGCGAATACAGTTGATCAGGTGTGTATCTTTGCTTGGCTCAGAGGCACCATAGTCACTCAAGACGAGTTTGAATCTGAGCTGTGTTCCTGGCTACGTTTATCTCTGAGCTTTGTGTAGGCACCATGCGCCAGTTTGATCGTCATCTGTTTGCATGCATGCTGAATGTCGAAGATGACAGTCTGATTGCAAATTTAGAGAAATGTTGGTAAATTTAGAGAAATTTAGAGAATTTTAGAGAAATTTAGAGAATTTTAGAGAACTTAGAGAAATTAAGAGAAATTTAGCGGATTAGGAATTTTGGAGAGAAAATGCTATGTGGGGGAAACAGAATATAGATTCGATGCTGCCATGTTCCTCCGCTCCGTAGGGTTCAGCCTCGCAGCACACTCGCCCTGGATCTTGCAGACGAGGCCTCCCAGTCACGTGCACAGCATGAAGCTTCCTCACCAGGGCATGAAGTTGCCCACCTTCCTTGCTGTCATCAAACTCCCTCCAACAGCTTGACAACTTACCGATTGTAATCAGTTAATAACTTAATAGGTCTTGAACACAGTTGTGATCTAAGAGAGTGCACTCGACCAACATCAACGCCTACAAAAAACATCGTACCCACTGCGCGTGATGTACAGTTTTCCCTATTGTCCCTCCAAGCCCAACCCTCCTCCACTTGACACGCGAGACATAGAACACCATTCATCTCATGAAGACCCGCTCCTTCGCCGAAGCAGTCCTCCCCTTCCTCCAGTGTGCCAGCCTGTGATGTCACTGAGTGAAGAACAAAGCAAGTACCTCCCCCCTTCATAGCCATCAATACTCGCACGCAGTCATGCTGACGTGGCAGCACCCGCACGCAGCCATGCTGACGTGGCAGCGCTCACACTCCAGGCAGCGCCTGTGCTCCCGCCATCCGCCAGCAGCTGGCGCCTGCACCCGGGCTCTCTCCGTCCTCAAGCAGCCAGCGCCCCCCGACCACCACCGCTCGCGCTCGCTGTCGGCCTTTAGCCAGCACCCGTGCACCACCCGTGCTCCATCTCACCGCTCGGACCCTCCTTTCTGTATGTGATTCATTTCCCAAGGCCACCTTATCTTGGACAAATCAGTTTTTCTGCTAACGAGGTAGCCCCTAACATTACTACTGTATTCACCTTATTCCATCAATCAATGATGGTCTGTCTACTGACAGTTACCCGGGTGTACTATTCAGTGGCGAATTTCAGCCTTATGAGCCAGGTTGAGTCATCACAGGTTAGACCAGCACTGCATTCTGACCTATTTTGACAAACCAAAACTTGCATTTCCCTGAGCCTAAAATATACAGTGCTGCAGTGAAGAAAAATAATTGTGGTGCCCTTGCCCACCGAGGCTCTATTTGGGCCGGGGCACTGTAGATTTTGGCCCGGTACTTGAAGACAAGAAAAATAAACAATGCACAGGCAGCTGGAGTGGTGGTTTAAGACATGCAAACGCTAAGCCCGACAACAAGAGCAGCAATTGAGTTAACGTCCACAACAAGAGAAAGAATAAAATAGGCGAATACCAAGAAAGTGCTCTTATTTTGAAGTTTTTTTTCCACAATTTATTCAAAATTCTATAACCTAAAAACAAAAAATTTTGATTGAAAAGAGATTTTAAAGCTTCTGTATCTGTATGACAACTAGTTATTATTGAAATATTCATACCTCGTATTTTATCGATTTTATCATAATGAATTTCAGGGAAAATTAATTGTTCCTTTATGCCAAAATGGAAATTTCCATAGCCATCAAAACTTTTCCAGTTTAAGCCCTGGAAGTGCCAAATGAATAAGATGATCTAAAAAAGAATACATAGTTTCACCTCTAAGAGTCACACATACTCCTACTGGCATTTTTTTTCTAATTTGGAAACCAGCTATAGCTTTTCTTGCATCTGACGTACTAACATCACCAGATTCACCACAGATGATGGGTAAAGTATCAGGTGTGTCGGTGATCCTCTACCCACATGGGCCAGGTTGAGTATTCCTGTGTCTGTGAGACACACACAGATGCAGGCACGTGTACAAGATGTCTACGGGAATAGGAACACCACAGGTGGGTAGACACATAAAGGCAGGCAAAGATAGACTGGCACAGACAGACAGACAGAGGCAAAACTTACACATACATACAGACTGAGTCGCTCCTAAACACAAAATATGGTGTGGAAATTGAAAAATGGAAATATTAAATTTGAAATGTGAGACTAAGCAAGAGAAATAAGCAGGGCCAAGGAGTACGAGCACAGGGACCCCTAAGGTGGAACAAAAGAATAGGTGCGACAGTGCAGGGTTCAATGTTCTGAAAATAGACGACCAGCGCAACCATAGAACTTCACTCTCAATGCAACTTGCTGATTGTGAGCAATACAATATATTGTCACATGAA